ACGGACGGGGCATATCCGGTGATACAATAATATTAAGGGCAATACGAGCACAGTCCAATGCAGCAAGAACACTTGCCCACAACGGATTTGACCAGAGAACGGATTCTGTCAAATGTTGAGACTGATGATGAAGCCGACGTGAGCCGTCTCGATGTTGCACCTCCGCCTTCTGACGTTTACGCAAAAAATGATCAATTTCAGCCTGAGGAATAAAAAGTTAAGACCGATATTAGCCTTTCATTACAGTTGAGTAATTTCACATACGATCAGTAGTGTGAGGTGAGAAACAGTGAAACAAACTTTTCTGATGAAGATTGTACAAAGTAAATAAGGAGCAGACTGAATAAGAGAAAAAATAAATCCTGATACCATGTGACTGCGCATGCATACTAATTCGACAGTACGACTGAACCGATATCTGTGATTAGACTTTTTCCTCAGTCTATTCGACTTAAATGTTGGCATAGATATTAGTACAGTTTACTGCGATAAAATACAGTACCATTCCTGGAAATTTCAGACATAATCCGGAGTCACAGCATTTTTCCAAGTTTTGCCATCCAATTTTTCGTCCCTGGTGTCAACTTTTTGCTTCCCAGGTGAACTCCATTGAGAGCAAAAAGCAGAGAGATATACAGCATGCGCAGCACGTGTTTCAACCAGCGTACGTAAGTGGTTGTTTGACCACGAAGCTTCAGCGAAAATACCCCAAACTCGTGAGGCTTCATCACCAGTACCGGGGTACACAAACAGTAACGGATGTTTGGCGCTACTCACACTTGCCATACCCAACTTCCTAACCTGACGAGACTCAATTGATTGTACACCTGTGTGGTGCCCCTCAGAAATCGTGCTTCCGCTGTCTTCTTATTACAATCTTGTCATTCGATTGAGAATCAGTAACTAAACCCATGAGGCTTATAGCGGCGCAGTATCTGGTATCGGCGAAAATTCCGAAAATCCTTAACCAAATCCGGCATAAAAATCTGGGCTTCGTCATGCTTATAAATCCGACCCGATTTTAAGAATCCATGGTTTCACAGTTACCTTTTCATTGTCATCTAGGTTAGCTGTGTTCTCTCTTATATACAACACTGGAAAGCGTAGGCGGCGTCCATGCGTGGCTTCGGATCCCACCCAGGCCACTGAACTTTTCACAACCTCAACATGAAACTTCAACCTGCCAAACAACAATTTGAACACTGGAAATTGCCAAAAGAGGCGACTCTATTACGAACGTTCTGGTGGCCTTTTCTAACTCTATAATCGATATCACGGGGCGGCAGTCGACACTATTGCGTCAAATTTCAAAACTAGCATAACGCTGATTGCACTGGTTCAAACTTACCTGTTCACCTCAAGATTTTGTGCTCTTCATACAACTGTATTCTTTTGTTGGTTGCTGTATGCATCCTTGTAAAAAATGTTACCCGCAACTGTTTCCCATTACATTATTTTGAAATGTAACCTGAAAACCCCTACACTCCGTGTGTACTTTTGAACTCTACAGTTTAAAGGACTACGTATAATTCACTGCCAGGGAAACTGCCTACTAACTGATCTACTGTGAGTGCTGTATTGCTGCCCATCTGTAAAAATACACACAATTCTCCCAAGCTTCAGATTATGTTGTTCGCTAACCGTCTCTTTTCCAACCACAATCTAATGCTTTCGCCTCACGTGCATCAATAACAAAAGATGGTATTCTCCATAGCAGGTCATTTTTCACTGTCTTGCAACATTTTCTTTTGCAAAACTGAGATACACCGAAAATTCGATTGGTTTATTCATGTTTGGAGTGTAATCTGTTGCATTTCCATGGAGCATGGCAAATAGCCATTTCACAAGCTACCAGAGAGTAGCTATGCAACGGCCGCAAATTCACCACAAGACCTATACCACTCTCTTCTAACACTACTTATCAGCATACTACAATTCCATCTCCTTATCTCCTCCCTGACCGCGAGTTTCATGTGTGAGCCACCGTTACGAACCCACGCTCTTCGCAAGTTGTGCTACAGGTTCCCATACTTTACTTTGGAGAATAAGATAGATCAAAATTTTCCCCTTTCGTTCTTTACTCTTTACTGTAACCTAAATTTTCAACATAACCAGCAAACCGGTTTTATCATTTGGAATCTCTTCTGTTTCAGTACAGCGAGCCCCCTGATGGTGAGATTTACCTCCTCTAATCCAGACGTCCAAGTCAAAAGTAAAATACCACAACGAACGGAAGCACGCAGCAGTGTCGGGACATTTTGCTCATCTATACACAAGATCAAAAGGTGCAATAATAGGGTCGTTACCTTCCATTGATTTACCTGGGTAAGAGGTGCGGGTGTTGTGTGTGCTCCAGCCTGCATATTTACCAATAATAAGGTGAGGAACCGAACCAGTCGTCCCGTTGGAATGGTGAACATGGACCCGGTCAAACGAACCTGGGCTGATTCCGAATATAACAAGCTCAACTCGTGACGGGTCAGACGTGCAGCGTCCGGAATGAGGTGTTCGTCAAAACTTGTATCTGGTTCCGCTTCGGCACCGGCGTAGCCACCTCGGGAACGGCGATGTTCGTTAACTTTAGTGGCTAAACATAGTAAGTCCAACTCTTCTACACGCCGCAAAATTTTACTTAAGCGAGCAGTGAATTGGGCAAGTGATGCAGCAGCTTCTGTGAGTTCTTCACTCTGGTGCCTCGCTTCATCGCTATCATCAGCCGAACCCTGATGGTCATCTTCACTGAGCGCAGACAAAGTAGATGGCGATGAACAGTCGGACCCCTTTACCTGTGAAAAAGATTCATCTGACAAGTCGGAGTCCTGAGCGTCATGGATTGATTGAGGAGATGCGTTTCCAGAAGCCACACAGGAATCGGCTTCCCGATTTTGTTCAGACGCCCGGGGCACGGAATCCACATCGCTACCCCGACTATCACTGTCTCCCATAGCAGAGCTGTGCGTGTATGCGATGGTGCTTGGTGTTGGGCACCCCAGGTCAGGCATAAATCCACCACCGTATGTCGAGGCGAGCTGAGATGAACTAGCCAGACTGCCTATAGAGTCATTGCTTGGACTCCGGTGCATGGCACGGACAAGAGTTTTATCCAGCTCTGCTGAATCCTCATCCGAGCTAAATATAACCTCATTACCCGGGCTGTGCGTTCGCGAGTGCGATATTCGGGCTCCATGCTTGATATTTTTCGTCCCAGAAATATGCCCTGTTGCATCTGACGACGTAGATGATCCGTTCAGGTTTGTACATAAATTTGCATCATTTACCGGGTGCTTGTGAGGAAGCACTTTGCCGGACATGGAATCTGTGGGCATTCTGGAAGACGAATGCACTCGTATGGAACTCTTGTGATCTGTGAAAGGAACACAGAAGACAGTTGTAGGACATATATTACTTTGAATAACCTAAATGCATATTTTGAACATCAAAATAACAGAGAATGCAAACACAGGAACGATTGTGGCACTGTCCGGCACTGTCTTCACTAGCAAAACACAGGAACGATGAAGATAGCTTTCCAAAAATAAAATAAATGGTATGGTTGGAATTGAAAACTCACATGTTTTTTAAACCACGAGTACGAGAAAAATACATTTATCAAGACGAAAGATTTAATTATATATTGTGATGTTTTAGAATTAATTTCCAAAGATCCAACTCGACGTTTCAACGTCTAAGATAGAAAAGTGCGGTTGACAGTTTGTATGCTAACCCGGGTTTAACCGAAAGCGCAATGATTATCCAAACAGTGATTTGAATTACTGTTTCAGAAGGTTCTGGTCACTAACGGGAAATTACTACAGGGGAATGTACTCAGTCAAGGATTATAATTAACTGTGTTGGTTCGTGAAACGCATCTTTGCATACATTCTATTGGATGAATGGTATAGGACTCTGTGCATTGTGCTGGTCAGTCAATAGCATGTGGTGCAGTAGTTGAGTCAGTATTGCTTTTTTCTTGCAGAGAATCGGTCGTTACATGAAGATCACAATAAACTGTTGGTGTTCGATCACCATACGGCACGAATCTGATGAGAAAACCGGATAAGCAGTGAGAAGTACAGAAAAAGATTGTTTTGCAACGAACGAACACAACGAATACAAGTGCGAAGACCGAGACATGTGTTACGCGCGTCACCAGACAAGTTTTCTCAGCGTGCGATTTTTTCCGAGTCAGATAATGTTTGGAAGATGGATGATGCTGATCAGAATAAGATCCGGTACGGAGATTTGAAAACCCTGAAGAAGACTCAGTGGCATCGAAGTTCCTGTTGCGGGACCTCGTGATCAACCTGATTATGGGTGATAGGACTTGGTGTCCCAAAAAGCTGCGTGAGTGCCCCATTCAAACTTTAAACAAAGCTAGTTTATCTATGTTTCCCACACAGCATTTTATTTCTTCTCTTTACTCCAACATTTTGGACTAAGTGAGCAACCGAAAAACAGTATTTCAAACCGATGCACCAAACCGCAAGGTTAATGGTTTTGTAAACTGAACAAAGTACTGTTGAATAAACCACACAATTACCACACTAAACCACCGGGCAATGACTATTAACCAAACATCTCAAATAAAAAATAAAGTGGAACAACAGAGTACCCGAGCATACCCCGTCATTGAAAACCACGATTATTGTTTTCAATGTTGGTAATTGATCATTTTGTGAATGATATTCGAATTTAAGTGATAGAGTAAGAAATTCCAATACCTCTATTATTTTCAGAAAACCATTTGGGTACGACTCAGCAAAGTAACAAAGTGCTGCAATTTATGGAACGTTACAAAGAACAATGATTAAACCAAATCGAAACCGAAAGGCAAAAAGTCGAACTAACTTGATAACCGAACGTCAATATTATAGAAGTTCAAATAATTGAGAACGTGATTTTTATAGGAAATCCATCTAGAGTATAACATATTTGAAAGACAAACGTTATTCAAAATGTAAATAAAACAACTATGATGAATTTCACCTGTTTTGTTCCATGGGAGCGCACAAAGGAAGTAAACGACAAAAAACAGAACAGTTACAGATGAAATCATGCACATTGTCCGAGTCGTATGTAATAATTTGTTAATCGCATGCAACAACACTAAGGAGATGTGTTGACGGTACATAAAAATAACATGAATCAAATCATACAGGTTCCACCGAAATGACAGCTTACAAAAAGCCACAGAAGGATGAAAATACAGATACGACCAGTGTTTTGAGTTATGAAGGGATAAGGCACAGACAATTACGTGTGACGGATTCCTTTCCAGGCCTATGTTCGACATGCAGTCAAGGCAACCGAATAAAATCAATGATCACAAAGTTAGGCGGGAACAACGGACTCCAAACAATCGGAAGAGGAAATAGTGAGCACCAAACAAGTCAGTTTATAACAAATCATCCAGATGAAAAACAATTAGAAAACAATGACAATTACCGCGAGAAGAATGTGTTGAAAATCCAGTATCATGGGAACTTCCAGTTTTCCGAGGAGCATCTAATTCGGCCGGTGTGTTAAGGGTGTCATTCAATGGCTGAAGAACAGGAGGTAACAATGTTTCTGGTGGTCCGGACTTAGAAGGTTGCGATCCATCAGCTGGCAGCTGAGTAGAAAATAAACAGTAGACAGTATACACAAGTAGCGTTCGTTTGTTTTGTAGCTTGTGTCACTGAAACATGGCTGTCTAACTTGAATACTGCTAAATGTTACAATTTTGTAGAGTAACGAATTTAAGATAACCAAAAGCACATCTGACAAACTCTTGCAAACTATTGTACTAAAAGTTCGTGAAAACCACCCCGATGGGACTACACTTCGAATCGCCGATCAAAAGATTTAACCCAAAAGCGGAGTGAATAAGTGCAAAGTTCGCTATTTATGGTGAACATGGTAATTAACAGTATTAGGATGAAGTCCATAAGCCCGACACCTACTATTCAATTATAGGGATTCGCAATCTAATCGGTGGTATTCGGAATAGCATACTACATAACATCTCGACAGGATGGGATGTGAATCTCAGGTGGACGATAGAATGATCAAGTGCGATCGGATTTCGCTGACGAGAGTAGTGTTCCAATCTCAAACGCTACCGCCTGAAACAAGCCAGGAACAACAAACTAAAACCTTTGATAAATCCAGCTTCCAGCTTAACATGCGATAAAATAGTATCACATGAGCTGTTAGTGCATACGCTAGATGGATAAGGCACATACAATGCATGATCACTGTTGCTTCGAGTCCGATGATATGACCACCAGGAAGCTGAATCAATCTTAATAACCATAATAGCCTATCGTACATCAAAGGTTACGATGAAAACTTCAAACTCAAGTGCTGTATTAAGGAATCCAAACAAATCCGAACAATTTAGACGGTTTTTCACAGACACTCGAAGGTTCGCGGTTCGGGTCCCGACAGGGACACAAAAAGTACGCACTGTTGACGTGTCTCAAACAGGACGAAACAGCTATCCAGTGCTCTTTATCGATCATCACAAACATCTCCATCGCATTTAAATCCGAGCAGTAATTCGAAAAATTATATGCGCCTGTTTTATCATCACTCGAAGATGAGCTTGCTTACCCTTTCCTCAATTGGAGACATGATACGTGACTTACATCAACTTCTTCCAATCTCGGTGGTGGATGAGAAAGATCTTGCACATTGGCTGATTCTCCGCAATACGCTTTCATCTCAATTTCTTCATCGTCACTAATCACAACACGTCGACGTCTTTTCATATGCGCGTCTGTTTTATTGATAAGAGAGCTATGTACACGGGAAGCAAAACGGTGATTTCTGTGTTTGGTGCCGGTGTGTTGCTGAGTTGAATCACCAATAAATGCTTCATCCGGCCCATGTATGCGAGTCGGGCTGGGGGAAGAGGAACGCGAGGATCTGTTGTCAAACAAAGCCCGTGTGGGAGGGGAGAAATGCGATTCCACCGACAGGCGATCGCGCGCCTGGTCCTTTTCGACTGATGTGCCGAAGGAGCGCGCGGTGGAGGAATGAGGAATACGGTGTTTTGATGGAGTAGTAGCCGAGGTGAAGAAACGTTCATTCGATTCAAACAGAGTTTGCGAATCATGAAGGTCCACGATGGTGGACTTCGACGGGCCAGAGCGCTCCATCACCGTAGGATACGTGGAGTGTGAATCTGTATGTTCAAGTGGTGGCGGAGGTACACTGTCCATACAAGATGACACGGAGCTAGGTTTGCTGGATCGTCCAGACGAAACTGCAGTACTAGGCGGAGAAAGTGACGCATCACTATCGGAAGACTTGTGTCTCATTTGTTTTGAATGCGACTGTTCCGATAAATTCACGTTATTGGTAACGCGCTGTCCAGAAAAACGACCAGCTTTGTGTCGGTTTTTGAAATCACTTGCTTTGTTATTCCGTGAACTTGCTTCTCCGCTACGTTCCACTGACCGGGTGGGCGAGGGTGTGGATGAAGGCGAGGCATCTGATGACCGATAGACACGCCGATCAGCTGCACCGGAACGTTTACTCATTTCCATCTCGCGCTGTTGTCTTCGTCGCTTTACACGCTCAACCAGAGCTTCAGTGAAATCCCCATGACTACTATCGGAAATATCTAGTTGGTTATTATTTGACTGCTCGCATCCTTTGCCTGTACCATTCATTGCATCATCTGGTACATGGGATGCACTCGCATTGATTGCTTCTCTTAATTCATTTGACGGTACATCATAAGAGTCAGGTGTGTTACTAGGTTTCTTATCGCCAATTGCTTGAGCTCGGTCATTCACACTCCACATTTTGAGCTCCTCTAGTTCCGTACGGCGGCGCCGGCCTGGAATGCACATAAGAGCAAACGAGAGAATTGCAATGTGTATGATTCGAAGTAAAATAAGCAAAGCTGTACATTAAAATGTCTTCAGAGTGCGGCTGAGATACCTTTATACATGAATATCAGCTATTTGGTTGCGGACAAAAAACAGGTGAATGGCAAATACGCAACAGTCATTATACGAAACGCACTCGCACGTAAGATGCGGTCAAAAGGAGAGCGAAAATCAATTACTCGCTAAATTCCCTCGTTAAGTAATTAGTTACGATGAAACCAAATAAACACCGTTTTTGTACTTTGTGCTCCGAAAATGTAATTTTTTCATTACACGGCACTACGTAATGAAAAGAATAGGTAAATCCTATGATCACAAAAACCCGATGCTTACTCATGTGAACCGGCAATCTAAGCAAAGGGACTTGGAGTGGCAAACCACATTAGACTCCACTAGCATGGGCATGGTATTGTGTCGGACAAAATTTAAGTTCGGTGATAGTGAGAGTGCGGTTGGAACTTTGGCGGGGTAGCTGTGGGGTCCCCCTTAGGTTCTATACTAACAGTGGTGGTGACTAAGTGGTTAGGTAAACAACTTATGACCTAGGAGTGCCGGGTTCGAACCGCTCCACCGCCGATCGTCTTCCCAGGCAGCCTTTGTATGGCCGCGACCCCCTTTCCTGAATGTTGTCTGTACATCTGTATATTCAGTACATAAAAAGGAAGTAAAAAGAAATTTATTTATTTTTATATTTTCCTAGCCAAACTGAGGAACGGAAATTTGAAAGCGACAATTCGACATTTTGACGTATATTGCAGATGCCTCGACGATACTGCTTTCGTTTGTGGCTCCCACATCAGCCACGCACAGATTTTGGACGAAATCAATGTGTCTTCCAGCTATTCGTTTCATCTGTGAATCAATGAAAAGCGGACAACTACCCTTATTATATACCTTTAACAAACCGAGACGACGGTACCATCCAAAGAAGCGTTCTCCATAAAACAATGTGGGTTGGACAGTTTACGCATTTTGTTGTTTTGTCCCCTGAAATACATACGCAACCCGGTCAGATGTTTTTCACACTGAACGCGAGCGTTCATGACGTGCTTCGGTCTAATGGTTAAGCAGAATTCTATATTAATAAACATATACGATTAAAGACCAAAGCAACCAAAAGCCAAACCATTCCTCAAAAGAGCGTTTCATTACCGTTCCATTTAGGGGCGATAACGCCTTGGAACTTCTCAAAATACATTTGTCTAAAGTGATTTCTATAACGTTTCCTGCAGCTCAACTGCATAGTCTCACTATCACTCAGCTCCCCTCCAGGAAACAAAAGATAAGCTGTCTCATCAAGCCAAACCCCTCTATTTATATTTTGCACTTGTGCACCTGTAGTGTGCGATACATTGAACATACAACCAGACGATCATCAAAACGTAGTGCTGTGCACTGTTCTGTGGCCCTCAACAAAAGAATGGTTAGGTACATTCGCAACTTGGTTCTCGGTCATCTACTAGATGGCGGCATGTTGTGGGCAAATTGGATGCAATGAAAATAATTCACAATTTACCCCGGAGATAAACCAAAGGAATAAGGCGTCTTTTACCTCCGCTAAGGTGATTACAATTCGCTTTTTCAATCCTGAACTATGCAAGTTAGAGGCTTGTTCAGACACTACAATTACCATAGCTTGAGCAGAGGACCGATTGTTTATAAACCAGAACATCAATCATCCCCCGCACACACACATCCGCACCTACTCAGTATCATCTACCACAAACTTAGCAGTTAATTATTTTTTTCTCCGTTAATCAGGATACTTGGTTACATAGGTCGCGTCCGGCTCTCTGGATGGAGACATCGAGATCATTGCAACCAATGGTTAGAGACATCTGAGCGATATGAATGAGTGTCGTAAACAGTGGCGCTCGTGCATCTTCACAATTTCTCTGCAACCTTAATCAATCGGAATTCTCCATTATCTCGATGGCACTACTTTCAACTTTCTAATCTTTCTTCAGCTCACTTATCCAAATGGACAGCTAAAAGACCAAACAAACCCGATGCACGAACGCGCATGGCTAACGACTGTGCAAACTGAAAAAACTGAACTAAACTCCAATGTCCTTTCTGGTGTATACTTTATCTCTCGCCTTAAATCATCACTCACAAAAATCTTAATAAGCCCATTTCTCTACCATTACTTCATTTTCATTACACACATTTGTATGGTGAACATCAGACGGGGCGAACCCCATAGTCACGAAGACCTGCTGCTCCGATCATTCACCCTTGGTACTCTCACATCCCCCCCCCCCCCAATTCCCGCTAGCCTTGTCACATCCGCTTGCTCGCCTGTCATCCTTATAAACTAAGCTGTAATCGGCCAATTAGATATTTGTACTATGTTCGCCTTATCTAGGTAACCGCCTGGTGCGATACATTGAAAAGAAATCTCAATATTGATTTTCTCATGCCATTTAGGAAAAACGTTCATGCTAACATTGGGTGAAAACGATGAGCCCTATTCGACCGCAGTGCATGATACATAATGATGCATCAATGATCAAGCGAGAAAACGACATGATTGAATGAATTGAATTCTGATGAGCAACTTGCACATCGTAGGTTAGACTCACAAGACCCACCCTTCCTGTTTGAATAGGTCTATTAACTTAATCACACACATCGTCGATCAACAATCGCAGTGTTTTTTGACCTGAAACGAGCCTCCGATTTAGTCGACCGTAAAGCTTTTATGGGACCACTACCTCGCAAAGGAAGACCGTGGAAGTATGTTAACCTATTGCGATCAATGTATCTGCATACTTCGAGTAGCGTCAGAGTCTACGATGGGCTAAGCAAATCGCTCAAAACCAGCAGTGGTGCTCCTCAAGAGTGCCCTATTTCGCTATTCTTGTTCAACTTCGTCGTAAAAAAATACTGGGGAGCGCAACAAGTGGTCTTTATAGTGTTGGTATTGAATGGGCAACTGGAGAAAAGAAGTGCGATTTAGAGTACACTGACAACATCGTTTGTCTGTTCTAATGTATGGAGGATGCACAAAGCGCTCTTGATAGACTTTCAATTCCTGAAACTGCATTTACTATGTGTTTTGCACCTTCAAAGTGCAAGGTGATGCCACAAGATTAAGTATCGTCTACCCCAGCGCTGATGCTTGATGATCAAGAATTAGCCATAGTAGAATGCATCTCCTAAATAGTTGGTTGCATGACAAATGACGGTAGTGCAAACAAAGGAGCAACCATCAACATTTACAACGCTAGAGGAGCTTACGCAAGACTGAAACACCTCTGGTGCAGACGCAATATTTCGTTGAAACTGAAAGGTCGCGTATTCTGCGCCCGTGTGCCGTCAGTTCTGCTCTATGGTTGCGAGACCCTAAATTTGCGCGTGGAAGATATTCGTCGTCCAGAAGTGTTCGACTGCAGATGTTTACGTAGTTTGGCGCGGGTTGGATGGAGCAATCGTGTAAGTAACTCTGAGGTAAGTCGTCGCGTATTTGGTAGTGCTTCTGTGGAGAATTCAGATTAGTCGGCTTCGCTGGTTATGACACGTATTGCGCATGCCCAGTTATCGTCTGCCGCACCGCGCCCTATTCGCAGTTGCGGCTCCAGTTTGGAAGAACTCGAGTGGAGGTCAACAGATGACACGAAAACGGGGCATGAAGAAATTCCCAGAGAGATTAAGTAAAATAGGCGTATCACGCCTTACAGGTGGGGGTCCGAAAGATTCTGTAACTGGTTGGTTGGAGACGGGGATAGATATGGCAACCAACAGACAGTAGTGGCGTTTTTGTTGTTATTTCTTATCAGGTCAGAAAGCTTGAAAATGTATGAATGCATAGTTAGGTTGTGAAATCTGTGTTGACCGTAGAGGATCACGTTCTTTAACTCCTTCAAGTTACGCTCAAAAGCTATCTACCTTGTACTTTCTTATTCACTTTGTGTACACTGAGAGCTTAGCAGCGATCATCGAAGTTCGTTTCACTGTATCTCGCTGAACAATGATGACGATGATACCATGTATTCAATCAGCGAAACGCAATGACTTTCTTGGAAATCAAAAACCACGACGCAGTTTCCGCATTCAATGCAGACAGACAGTGAAATCACCACATCTTCACGTAGTTTAGACAGAAGAGTGATACATTTGCAGCATTCCTGCAGCAGCAATGGACCAGGTTATTAGACAATCACGTCTCGGAATTCGACACACAGTTTGTCCAAAGACCTGTTGAATAGCACTATTCTTAAACATCGTGATATCATATGTTTAAGTTTGCCAAATCAAACTGAAAAGATGTCTAAGATGTCTAATACACAGGCATTTTGAACACATCTTTACCGGTGAGATTACATAATGATATGCTCTCATACCACGGCACTTGGCAGGGATTAGGCCTATTTTTAGAGGTGAGAAAAGAAAGCGAAACTCTACGGTCAATACACAGAAAGCACAGTCCAGCTGTGTATACATACTATTTCAAGCATTCTGGTCTGATAACCGACAGCAAGCTCGCCATCGCTGTCGGTTCTCAGCCATGACCTTCAGTGTCTCCAAACATGCGGTATTGGAGTTTTTTGGACCCCAACCCGGAAGACGAGAGACACCTACTCTACCTCGCTCTGTGCATTTCTTCACGATTTGTCTTCACGTCATCTGTTGGCCTCCACGTGGCTTCCTCCAGTCTGCAACAGCCACCGCAAATAAGGCACGCTGCGGTAGGCGACCGTCGGAGATACGCAAAACCTGTCCCAACCAACGGAGCCTATTGAACTGAATTCTATGCGATAGCGAGTTCTTGTTCGACGCATTCCCAAACACCCGACGACTTACTTCTAGGTTACTAACCCCCCTCATTCCATTCAACCTGAGCTAGATTACGTAAGCATCGATTGTCGAAAACCGCTAAACGACGAATGTCTTCTACGCGCAAATTCAAGGTCTCACAGCCGTGAAGCAGAAATGATTGTACGGTGGCGCAACAGCGGACCATTAGCAAAGTCGGCTGGTGAATATAAGATTTCCCAAAGACGAGGCAGCATAGCTCTATACCGTTACGCTGCGGCGTTTGAAGGCTGTGCCCGAGAAGTTTACCTCAATAACACGATCAGTGTTTAAGCGTACGGCAATTTTAGCCCGAGTTCACCATAGCAAGCGGTCTTTGTCAGGGTTGCTCTCTCTTTTCTATTTATCTTCGTTGTATATTTGATTATGGAAATAGCCCTATCCTCTTTTAGAATACTGTCACAGAAAAGATAAAGAACTCTCATTGATTATGGTTGCAAGGATAATAAGTTGACGGACGAGCGCTACTGTTTGCGACAGACATAGCACTAGTTCGACTGATCGTGCATGCTTGCACTTTCACATAAAATGTTGCTACTGGGTTCGTTCAGCTGCCAACCTCACTCAAACCACGGAATTAATAGAGCAAGCGGACAACTCTCGCTATTTTAACAGCTACATATCACCCCGCGGACGCATCACTCATGAAGCGTCTGCACTCATACAGGAGACTCGGTTGGCATTTGTCAACACAAGAAATCAGTGACCCCATAGCTGTCTGTGAAAAGTAGAGTACATGGTGCAGACATTCAGCCAGCGTTTCAGGATGGTATTGGCGCGCTTCGGACCCCATGGTCCGAGGTTCGAGCTCAGCCACCTTCACCGCCACCCAACTTTGGTGGTAGCTTTGCTGTCGTCCTAAATTATTGAGGCCTAGGTTACCGCTTTCCGTCACTGAACAGTAGGTCTTGGCGACTAAGGGTTTTACCCAATCTGCTGTTCATCACACAAGGGTGCATCATAAAAATATATAAGGCGCAGCTTTACGGTGAATGGGGGACGCAAGGCGTGGTTCAACTAAGACTTGATATGAATGCATGAAAACCTAGACCAGAAGACATGCTCACGTTGGTCTTCCTGGACGAGGATCTCGGAATCCGCATAAGCGATATTAAGAAACACTGGGTGACATGGCTGAATGCCATAAACAGTGTGCTTGCGCATCTACTCAATGCCCTTGCAACCGTAATCTACGTAAAATTTTAATCTTTCATCGAAATGGGTAGTACATAAAACCTCAGTACGAAGGTGAAAGGTTAATGATTATTCAAACTGAAACTAAGAATCCGATTTTGCTGTCGATCACATACTGAGCTTCTCGATGACCGTAGCAAAGCACGCTGCGAAACTGATCGTAATGCACTGAAAACGGTGCAAAACCTCTTACTTCCTTGTCTCTCTTTACCTTGATCAGACATAAAATGAGACAATAACCATGTTACGGTGTTCTGAAACATCATTCAAGCTGTAATTCGGGTTTCACAACGAATAAAACGATAAGGAGTGTTAATTTAATGGTTTGGCCTGCCTTCCGACAAAAGCTGCACGGGTTCATTTTCAATTTACGAATGCGGCACATTGGGCAAGTATAGATACGGGAAATAGGTCAAGTGTGCTGCGAGTGTTACTGATCGCTTTTGACCAATGCACGGACTGCGAACCCAAGTTCTTAGTTCATAGTATGTATCGATTGAAGGTCAAACCAGCTAACTTTTCATAAAGATTATTGTACCATGATTAGTTTGGCACACAGTCTGGCCTCAGACGCGTGATATATATATATATATATATCTGACCAGCTCAAACCACATCCTTTGATACGTGAGTACAGCAAGTCCGAATGAAGCTAGTTTGTTTCATGACTTTCTTTCAACCGCAGCAATACTAAAAAATAAACAGCGGGCTTATAAAAACATGTTAACCAGGCATCATTGCTGGTTATCTACTCGATTATTGAGTAGCTACAGCAAATTATGACAATCGCAACCGCCGCATGAAAGTGCATGGTTAGTGGTTGGAATCGATTGAATCATAATACGGTGTGAGCTAGAATAATATACTGATTGCAATCTTAGCAGATATTTGTGCTTGGAACAGATACTTTGATAAGGGGAATGAAAACGGAACCATTACTCTTCTGAGTGAAAACAATTAATGAATTCACAGATTGGTGCACACTCACCTCCACCTCCTCTTGGTTTGCCAGATGCGTATCTGCCACGACTTGATTTGGATGGAGACGGGTTTGTATGGGGTAAACATTTTCCTTGTTTGTTTGTGGAGGAGGGTTTGGAGCCACCTTCAGTAGCGCCACAAGAGCGTGGACCTGTACCATCTGTGAAAAATGCACTTCCAGGAGAATGATTTGGGTCATTGTCACCCAGAATACTATCATTATCAGCATCGGGGAAGCTAGGACGAAGACTACCTGATCGCGGTAGATAAGCAGCTAGCCCAAGTGGCGCAATCCGGCTTTGTTCTTCTTCGGCTGGTTCGTGGGATTCCGGTCCAGGTTCGGATGTGTTAAACAGGCGCACTGAAGGTGAAGCGACTCCGGTAGGGGGATAGATACATTTGGGTAAATTCGAGGGAGAAGCAGCCACTGCATTCACAGCCGTATTTACAGAAAGCGCTACAGTAGTCAACCCACCACCTGGAGTGGCTGGATAGGATGAATGATTGGAAGGCACCGATAGAGGTGTCCTAGGAGCACAAACGGATACGTCTGCGCTGGCACCGACAGAATGCGGAGCCTGACTGCAGTTGGATGGAACATTTACAACAGAGGACGGACCTGAGAGTGAGCCTGAATATATGCCGTCGTTGACCGGGTATAGAAGGGATGGTTCGGATGTTTTAACGGAAGAATCTATCCAATCATCGAATAAACCACCACCTGTACAAGAGCCCGACTTTTCTGATTCTATGTGTGGCTGATAAGAGTGGAAGAGAGCGGCGGAATGAAAAATCTGAGATAAAGCCGGATCTGGTACACGGCGGGAAGACGACGCACTTTCGGGATTAGCGGAATGAGTAGCCGAAGATGCCGGTGAGATAGTGGTACAAGAAGTTGTAGTTGTTGCTGTTGTTGTTGTTGCCGTTGTTGTTGTTGTTGAGACACTTGTGGTTGAAACCGCCGATGTACTCGGTTGGCAAACAATGGGCTGAGCAACTGTTGTCGTGACGGTGCTAAGCGTCGGAATATCGACTGTAACACTGGGTAGACTCGAAGATACGTTTGCCGAAGAGGAATCGCTAAACAGTTTTGTTGAGCACGATACAGGATGCGCACATGTGGTTTCCGGCTGATCAGTGGAAGGACTGCCAGGTGTGACAATGGCGGCGACCTGATTTTCATCAACAGTTATACGCAAAGGTGGAATACTGCCCGGTGGTGGGTTCGGAAGTGTTGGACATGTTTGTGGGATACAATCTGTGGAAACCACACCAGACTGGGATATTCCGTATGCTGTGCATGATGTAGGGGTCCCCTTTGTGGATATTTTCAGAATCGGAAGTTGCACTTGAGCATCGTCCGGAGTAGCCTTTTCACAGGATGACGAATGACTTTGAGCATCAAAGACACCGTCGGACGTAACGTGCTACACCAAGAAAGAAAAAAATTTGGATCGATGAGGATATATATAGCATTCATGGGTTGTGTATTTCCGTTTGAAAACTCAAAATTATTATGGCTAAAATGGCCGGAATCGAAAGTTTACTCGAAATAGTACGACAGGGAAAAATAATTGAAGGAATGAAAAACAGCCAGTGTAATCGGTATCTATCTTATCAAGCCAAATTAAGAATTACTTTACATGCACAAGATCATTCAGCTTCGGTTTCACTTTTACAACCATTAACCATGCACCTTCGTGCGCCGGTGTTGGTTGCTGTCTTTTGGCCGCTCATTTGGACAAAAAAGGAGGAAGAAGATTGGAATGTTCAGAGCAAATTCAAGAAGATATAGAAATTTAAATTCAAGATCATACGTCAGTTGAACATAAAACATATGTTCCACTTAATTTCAGTTTCATCGAAATACAAATCGATACCTACCGTGGATTCGGAGGGAGTTCCAGGTTTACGACGTGACTTTCTCCCTTTCTTGTTTGACTCTTTGAAGTTAAGACACTTCTTCAAAGCTATTCTCAATGGTGCTATGTGAACAGCACTGTAAGATCCGGACGATTTCTCCTCATATGCGGTGGGATAAGTATCCCTGAGAGGAGCGGGAGTTTCTTGCTGAATTTCCACAGAACTTAAAGTGTTTTGACTCGAATTCACTACCGGAGACGATTCCGATGTACTTGAGTGTTGCCGGGAATAATCTACATCATTCCGAGGTTCCGGATTAGGGTTATATAAAAATGCGCCGGATTTCTCAAGTGCGCAGAGCAAGGACGGAAGGCAGGATGCTTTGATTCCATCCCGAGATTCTGACGGGACATCTTTGAAGATCCTGAAGAAACAATGGAATTAACTACAGAGTGATACTTACAAGTGATCAACAGACACACTGGTCAAGGCGGAACATAGACGGTGAACTAGCACGGGATCCTCAGTATTGATACATCGATAGGCATCGTGTACTAATTTGGGTTCATAGAGAAGTGTGCGGCTATCTACAGTCAAGTGGGACGGTTGTGGAATGGGAAGTTCTGTAAGAACATCGGTGAGGCTTTTACATCCACTGAGTGAGATTATGGGAATTCGCTCCATCTTTCCCGACATGGCTGTACCACTTTCGAGCAGCAGGCAAGGGAGCCGAGCTTATTCTAAAAAGTTTCGCCACATATTGAATTGAATTTCTTCCTCTTTTATGGCGAGAAATAGTGCACTTCATTGTTTAATCTCTTTTAATTCAGGTAAAGTCATTTACGACAAAAATCAATAAACGACCCTGCGGTTGAATTTTGAGCGCAGAACCCGTTAATATCCAAACAAACAAATCATAGAGGATTCAGGTCAGGTCAGGTCACAGGACTTTAGTCTTCGGCCAAGAAACATCCAGATTCTTGCACTTGTGAGCTGGCACTTCTCGCATAGCTTCAACTGCCGGGTAGTTCCATAGTTTTGTGATGGATGATGCACCTACAAGAAAAGAGATCAGAAGTTCAGTTCAGTTTGGTTCAGTTTTCACAGGACGAATATGGCTCTTGCCAATCGATCGTCCAGTTCGTTGTGTTTTCGGTGGATGGGAGTAGCTTGTAACACTGCGTACGGTTGATTAGGTTTTTGTGGTCCTCTTAATTTAGCCCCGTTGCCAGAACGTTGAATCCTTGGGGGTATGTTGAAAAGGAGGAAAGCAAGCAAGGATATCTCATCACCTCATTGGTAACAGACCTCAAGTACACACGCGTTCGTATACACAGGTCACATGTGACAAGACAGTCAGTTTTAGAATAATTCTAACAGTCAAGCCCGAATTTGCACCATTTCAAAGCTTCCGGCTAAAGTAGAATTTATTCCTTATGTTCCCACTCTGAATACTAACTTCGGGGAACACTGCTGACCAACATGCGTCCAGGGCCACCTTGAAGGCTTTAACATTGGCGCATTTGACCACTTCTGCGGATAACCTGTTCCACGTAGGAAACTGACCCGACCTTGACCTTCGCGCGCGGTTTGAAATTCGGAGCCAGGAAGATCAATTAGGAGAGAATAATCTGAAGAGATTCAAACGTTACACGCAGGATCGCTGGATAAAGCTGACGGAGCAGGCAACGAGACCAAACAAAGGACCAAAACGGCGAGTCATTCCCACGACACAATCCACGCGGTATCGTTCTAATTCTTTTTAACTGTGTATCAGTGCTGTCTAACATTTATTGCATCTATCATTGTTAATAACTCCCGATGGAATTACCTGTTTTTATATAGATAATTTAAATGCCACCGAAAAAAGATAAGAAAAAACTGAATATCACGCCTAGTGTACTAAGTACGACCAACCTACCGACCACGAACTCTATAAGATGTGAAATAGCAGTCTCGAGAAAAATCAAAGCTCTGAGATGCTACATGTGTAACCAATGGTGCCACAGACACTGTGACAAAATAGTGACTATTGATATATACAACCTTTTGTCGCTCATCCTACAAGAGGAATGCAATAGGTATGTTCTCTCTGATGGCAGGCCAAAAACAAAACGTCCACTCAACCTCTTACTACTCCGATTACCAAGTCTATCCGCCTGGGTGAGGAACAACTATACAGTTCAGAAATTAAGTCACGCCACGAAACGTCAGGGTCACCCAATAGGATAGTTATCCCTAAGAAGCCCCTGAGAAGTGCACCAATCACTGTATCGACACCAAAGGAAGAGCCGACCGCCTCCCTGAAACAGATACGGGTGACGAGCTTAGAAAATGATAAAGATCCCACCAAGCTGCAGTTTACCAATATCATTGGAGTGACCAACTCAGCGCAACCAGCTGAACAACAGGAGCGACCTGAGTTAAGGCAGGTGTCCAGAGGCACCTGCACGCCTACCTTGAAAAATAACGACATGCGACACAGAAGCGTCATCATTTTCGGAGCGCCAGAGAGCACTGATTAGTCTCTTAGAGCCAGGGACAAACAGGATGAAACATAAATCAATGATGTGCTGCGCCACATGGGCATACAACTTGATGTAATCAAGCATCACAGGCTAAACAGTAGTGACTCAACTACTAAAACTCACGCCCCTAGACCAATAAGACTAGAGACTGCTAATCCGAAGAGTGCGTCGGAGATTCTCCTTCGCTCGCCCATGCTGCATACTTCAGATTGGAGTCAAACAAGAATAATACGTGACCTTCAGTGGAGTGAACGCCAACAGAGGTGAGACACTAAGAGGCAGACGGACGACTGTGACTACCGCTCGGTCATCATACGAGGCATACCAGAAGCTCAGGGGTAAATTAGTCAATGCCTGCACGACAGCGAACAATGGGATTACATTCCGGAAAAATCCAGTCTGTCCGACGTATTAGCTGAACGTGTGATACGGCTACCTAGACCCGCCCACCTCAGCAGATTGACTTCGCCTAGGCTCATCAAAGTAGAGCTTTTTGACGACGGCATGAAACACAACTTCCTGTAGGGATGGCACAAAGCCAAAACTATCTTCACCACCGAGATAAAATGCCACGATAGCCGACCACGAAGGAAGAGATTAGCCATGAGGGCACTCTCCTCCATCAGTAGTGCCATTCCGGTATTAAACATATCTCTTATTCGGAAACCTGAAATGAGCGGTGATCTCATTCATTACTCTAAAAAGAATAAGTCAAAAACGACTAGTATCCGGTCTTCTAGAGGCCGGATCCAATCGACCAGAGAACAGAACAGCAAAACCAGCGTTTATCTACCAAATTGAGTCAACACCATACGTATACACCAACGCACAGAACCTCAGGAATAAAATCCCAGAATTACAAACCTTGACGTCGATCAGCAATCCTGGTATTATAGGTATCAGTGAAACATAGTTACACGAAGGAATACATGACGCAGAAATATCTCTCCCGAGATGGCACAGCTACAGGAAGGACCGCACTAGCTCTAAGGAAGGAGGAGTCATCCTTTACGTAGCACAAAATTTGCACCCTGAGCAGGTGATTGATCCACATTTGAACGGCTGCCCAGAATCAGTGTGGGTTTCCTTTAAACCCGAAGGTTGCACAGCAACTTTAGTTGGAGTAGTCTACAGACCGCCGAACTCAACAACCCCAGAAGACGCCAGCACATTGTTGTCTATC